CCCTGCAGCGGCCTTGACGATATCTTCTGTAATCGTGACTTCTTCTGCCCTGCGGTCGAGGAGGAGCTCTATCACCTTGGCGCCGTTGCCAGAGTTACTTGCGGCGGCATAGATGATATTCTTTGTGATCGTGAATTCTTCTCCCCTACGGTCGAGGAGGACCTCTATCACCTGGGCCCCGTCAAACGAGTTTCTTGCGGCGGCCTCGACGATACCTTTCGTGATCGTGATTCGATCTTCCCTGCGGTCAAGGAGAACCTCTATCACCTTGGCCCCGTTGACCGCGTTTCTTGCGGTGGCATAGATGATATCCTCTGTAATCGTGATTTGATGTCCCCTGCGGTCGAGAAGGACCTTTATCACCTGGGCCCCGTTGCCCGAGTTCCCTACAGCGGCCTGGACGATATTCTCTGTGATCGTGACTTCTTCTGCCCTGCGGTCTAGAAGGAGCTCTATCACCTCGGCCCCCTTCCCCAAGTTCCACGCCGCAGCCCTAACGATATCCTCTGTGATCGTGACTTCTTCTCCCCTACGGTCGAGAAGAAGCTCTATCACCTTGGCGCCGTTGCCCGAGTTTTCTGCCGCGGCCTCGACGATATCCTCTGTGATCAGGACTTCTTCTCCCCTGCGGTCGAGGAGGACCTCTATCACCTGGGCCCCGTCAAACGAGTTTCTTGCGGCGGCCTTAACGATATCCTCTGTAATCGTGATTTGATCTCTCCTGCGGTCGAGAAGGACCTTTATTACTTGGGCCCCGTTGCCCGAGTTCTCTGCAGCGGCCTTGACGATATCTTCTGTAATCGTGACTTCTTCTGCCCTGCGGTCGAGGAGGAGCTCTATTACCTTGGCCCCGTTGGCCGAGTTTCTTGCGGCGGCCTTAACGATATCCTCTGTAATCGTGACTTCTTTTGCTCTACGGCCGAGGAGGACCTCTATCACCTCGGCCGAGTTTCCTGCCGCGGCCTCGACGATATCCTCCGTGATCGTGAATTCTTCTCCCCTGCGGTCCAGAAGGAGCTCTATCACCTCGGCCCCCTTCCCCAAGTTCCACGCCGCAGCCTTAACGATATCCTCTGTGATCGTGACTTCTTCTCCCCTACGGTCAAAAATGACCTTCATGACCTCGGCCCCGTCGCCTGAGTTGCTCACGGCGGCCTTGACGATACCTTTCGTGATCGTGATTCGATCTTCCCTGCGGTCAAGGAGGACCTCTATCACCTTAGCCCCGTTGCCCCAGTTCCCTGCAGCGGCCTCGACGATATCTTCTGTAATCGTGATTTGATCTCCCCTGCGGTCGAGGAGGACCTCTATCACCTCGGCCGAGTTTCTTGCCGCGGCCTCGACGATATCCTTTGTGATCGTGACTTCTTCTGCCTTGCGGTCTAGGAGGACCTTTATCACCTTGGCCCCATTGCCCGGGTTTTTCACGGCGGCCTTGACGATACCTTTCGTGATCGTGAATTCTTCTCCCCTACGGTCGAGGAGGAGCTCTATCACCTGTTCCCCATTCTCCCAGTTCCCTGCAGCGGCCTCGACGATATCCTCTGTGATCGTGACTTCTTCTGCTCTGCGGTCGAGGAGGAGCTCCATCACCTTGGCCCCGTTGACCGAGTTTCTTGCGGCGGACTTAACGATATCCTCTGTAATCGTGATTTGGTCTTCTCTGCGGTCTAGAAGGGTCTCTATCACATCAGGTCCAAAGTTCCTAGTGACAGCAGTAATTTCGTTCGCGGTAATCGTGCTTAAGCCTTCTCGGAGGAGAAGAATCTTCATCGCCTTGGCCCCGTTACCCGAGTTCTCTATAGCGGCGTTGACTATTTCCTTTGTGATCGTGACTTGATCTTCCCTGTGGGCAAGAAGGAGCTTCATCACCTCCCCCGCGCTCGTCTCGTTCTTCGCGGCGGCTAAGAGAACGTTTTCCGAGATTGTGACTTGGTCTCCTCTGTGAGCGAGAAGGACCTCGGCTACATCGGGTCCAAAGTTCCTAGCGAGGGCAGTAATGCCGCTTGCGGTGATCGCACCTATGCCTTCTCGGGTGAGAAGAATCTTTATCACCTTAGTCCCGTTGCCCGAGTTCCCTGCCGCGGCCTCGACGACATTATTTGTGATCGTGATTTGATCCCCTCTGCGGTCTTGAAGGACCTCCATCACCTCGGCCCCATTGTGCCAATTCCCTGCGGCGACCTTAACGATACCTTCAGTGATCTTGATTTGATCAGCCCTGCGGTCGAGAAGGACCTCCATGACTTGGGCCCCGTGGGCCGAGTTCCGTGCGGCGGCCTTGACAATATCCTCTGTGATTGTGACTTGGTCTCCCCTATGAGCGAGAAGGACCTCCGTCACATCGGGTCCAAAGTTATTAGCGACGGCAGCAATTCCGTTTTCGGTGATTGTGCCCAAGCCTCCTTGGGTGAGAATAATCTTCATCACCTTGGCCCCGTTGCCCGAATTCCCTGCGGCGGCCTTCACTACATCCTCTGTGATCGTGACTTCCTCCGCCCTGCGGTCGAGAAGGAGTTTCATCACCTCGGCCCCGTTGCGCCAGTTCCTTGAGGCGACCTTGACGATGTTCTCTGTGATTGTGACTCGATCTCCCCTGTGGGCAAGAAGGAGCTCCATCACCTCCGCCGCGCTCGTCTCGTTCTTCGCGGCGGCTAAGATAACGCTTTCCGAGATCGCGACTTGGTCTCCTCTATGGGTGAGGAGAACTTTCATCAGCTTGGGCCCGAAGATCCTAGTGACGGCGGCAACGCCACCGGTAGTGATCTTGACCTTGCCTCCTTGCCAGGTCAGAAGGACCTTCATCACATCCTCCCCGCTCTCCCAGTTCCCAGCCGCGATATTAACGATACCCTCTGTGATTATGATTTGATCTCCTTTCCCAGCGAGGAGGGCCTCTATCACGTCGGGCCCAAAGTTTTGAAAGACAGCTGCAATGCCAGCTGCAGTAATGGTGATCTGGCCTTTTTTCCAGTTAAGTAGGACTTTCAGTATCTCCTCCCCGCTCTCCCAATTTTCTGCTGCGGCCTCCACGATGTCTTCAGTAATCGTGACTTGATTTCCTTTCTGGCCGAGAAGGATTCGCATCACCTCGGCTCCGCTCCCCTCGTTCTCCGCGGCTGCCTTGATGACGTCCTCTGTAATCGTGACCCGGTCTCCTTTGTGAGAAAAAAGGGCTTCTATCACTTTAGGTCCACATTCTTGATTGTGGGCTGCCGCCTGGATCACTTCTGTTTCCACTTGCAACGCAGGATCCGCTCGGTCGAGCATGCGCTTGAAAACATTGATATAGCTAGAAGCCGCGCACTGCATGAGCGGCGTGCACCCGTCTGAGTCTCGGTAGGCTGAATCAACGTATGGGAAATATAATGTCGCTTGTGCAGAGGCTGCAGCGAGACCAGGCTTCCGTGAGAGCGCATAATCAACAAGTAGCGGGATACCCCATCGGGCAGCAACATGAAAGATTGACAGGCCAGGAGGCACTCCGTACTCCGACGTGAGATAATTTTCCCACCAGCTGTCGCGTATCTTTGATTCGATGGTGAAAAACTCGGCCTGGTTATCTTCGATCTGGAATTCTTCTTGAGCTATATGCGCGTGTTCCGGCCAAAACTCCGTAGCGTACTGAACAAAGTCGTCGTTTTCCTTTTGGTGGCATCCTTCCAGCGTAAAATTTGCAATGAGGCACTGAACGCAGCGACTTGCCAGTATGTTGTGGACTTGTAGCTCGCGGACATACCACATGCTGCCGGCCATGTCGCCTACCAGGAAGTCCTTGACTGACTGATGCAGCAGCAAGACTTTGTCGTCCTGAACCACGATCATCAGTCGACAGGAAGCGACAACCTCGCTTGTGAACTGGATGCGCTCTTCTTCAGCTTCGTCCTGGTAGAGATTGCATGCGGAGGCGAGCTCCCGAGTGCTGAGAGGACGCCGTGCTACCATGACGAAGCTGAGCAGTCTTTTCACCATGTCGGGATCCTCGCCTTGAAGTGCTGTATCGAGGAGCTGTTTATAGAGCGATTGAAGTCCTGCGGGTATCGTCACGAGGCGTATGACGGAGTTTCTTGAAGGAACGTCCTCTAGCTCCCGACAGGCCAAGCCGACCCAGAGAAAGATACCGCCGGCCTTGTCCCGAAGTACCCGCGCAATTATAGTAGCAACGGTTTTCGTGTACTTTTTTCTTTCGCCGAGCTCAGCCACCTTCTCGTCGATAAACTTGTCAACATCTTGTCTCGACTCCTTGAACGATGCCAGATCTCTGCTAGGGAACGTTTGCAGATGCTCGGTAATTTCAGAGTACGGTCTGCTGGTGAAAAGAAAGCTAACGTTCAGCCCGCCGGCGGCTCGATCTTGGCCGAACGTCTGCTTGATTTGCTTTAGAAGTGTCATTTGGTCGTCCTGCGTGCACTCGTCTAGGGCGTCGACGACGCAGTACTTGCGGCCGGTTGGGACATCCGCGCATGCTTTCAAGAACATGCCCCACAAAGCATCAAATGACTCAAACGCGCGGGCCTTGCGCTCCTCGTACTTGGGGAGGACATACTCGATGAGACGCGGGTGCTGTTGCACTAGCTGCAGGAGGAGCCCACGGACAACGGCCGTGGCCGTCTTGCGCGTGTCGTAGCCTGAGTCACAGAAGAAGTACGCGAGCGTCTTATTCGGCGTCTGGGAGAAGGCCTCCGATAGCGCCTCGGCAAGGAACATTGACATGGTCGACTTGCCCGTCCCTGGGTTTCCGTGGAGCCAGAGGACGTCTGTGGCGGGAGACGTCGACTCTGGCGCATCGCCAAGCCAGGCTGTCAGCTCGTCGGTCCCGAGGATCCAGTCGCAGGTACCTTTGGCGCGGTGACCTTTCTTCCGCTTCATTTTCTGCATGTCCTCGTATGGATCAGTGAGGAAGAGGTGCCGGAGGCACTCTTTCGCTTCGCGTTTCTCTGTTAAGAGGTCTGCACCTGCTTAGCAAAATATAGGAATAATAAAGGAAGTCCTACAGTCTCTGTCGGTGATAATGGGTCTTGCTGCAAAGTTGTCAGCTCATCCTCTCCTGGGCAGCCTGAACCTTATCACGCACGTTGTGTCCGGCGCTCGACGACGGCTGGGGCGTCTGCACAGAGCCTGCGCAGCTCCGCGGAGACACTCCGGAAGGAGCGGTCATCCGGGCCGGAGTACTTATTCAACTCAGAATGATTTGCTTCCAGCGAACGCCTTTCGAGGCCGGGGATACACGCCGACGCCTCGTCGACCACCTGATGCGGGTCAGCGATCCGCAGGCGGGCAGCACGGTATAGACCAAACGAACCCTTTCCTTGCTAGGCCATCCAACGCCCAACATCTTCTTCGCATAGTCAGTTTTGTGTAGCTCGAAAAAGCAGCACGTGGTTAGAGAGAGAGTGTTCCTCAGGCGACAAAAATAGTGCAACGTGTCCATCAGGTTCTCGTCGTCGTAGGCCAGATCGCGGACGATGCCGTCGTGCGAGCCGACAAAGCGTGAAAACCATGCCGCGATCTCGGCCAGAGTCTGGAAGTGGGATCCGCGCAATGGCGAGCCGAGGAAAATGACGCCTGCCGTCGACGTCGCGACATGCCTCAAGGCGTCGTCCGAGTTGGCGTAGAGGAGGGCCTGTAATTTCAGCCTCGCCCATCCGATTGAAGATCTCGGTCACTCACATGCTGGATGACGTTGCCCCCGAGGCTGTGGCCGACAAAGACGATTGGCCGGCTCGCCGTCGCACCCTCCCGGAAGTCGCGGACGCTGCGGGCGAGCTCCTCGCCGCAAAGTGACAGGCGCGTCTTGGGCGCGTCCTTGTGCCACCTCGAGTTGTAGTTGTAGAGCAGAATGCGCGAGTGGGGTACGACGGCCGGGAGCATGTCGGGGTCCTGGAGCCATCTGACGTGGAGGTCGGGGTTTCCTGGGTCGGCCGGGTTCTTCCACGTCCACGCCCAGTAGACGTCCGAGCCGAGGCCGTGGACAGCGACGATGCTAGGGACGTCAGCACATGATCCAGCGCGGGCTGGCGGGAACGTACTCGACGTTGGCTTCGGCGCTCTCATACACCGCCTCTAGGGCCGGGCCGCTGTGCGAGGTATGCAGTAAAAGGGTTAGCGGGAGGGCATCCAAGCAGAGGCGGGGCGTACCATGGTTTCGATGATTGCTCGGTGTTTGAGGTTCGGATCGATGTAGATAACTAATGGCTAGAAACAATCGCGTGGGGGATGCAGAGCCAGCGATTGATTTTGCGACAGTGCGCGGGCACGTCTGTTCTATTGAGCCCAGGGAAACTGCAGCTAAGCTGCGACGGGAGTGTACCAGATATGCCACGGCGGTTACGACGCGGTTGGTCACGAGATGCGTGCATGGAGACCAGGCTTTGCGATATGATTGTCGAGGCTCATTCATTCGTCGGGGCGCAGCCGGCGAGGCGTTCTGCTGCAATAGGCGTGGCTTGTACGGCTTGGCCCTGCCTGCACGCACGCGCTGCCACAGGAGTCGGCGCTCAATCAGAAGCAATGGGTATAAAAGCACGCAATGTTTCTAGATAGTGGCCTGCCTCGCTAGTCACAGAGCAACGCGAACTTGGCAGGCTTCCGTGAGAATGTCGGCATCGAACCAGGTGCGCACCGTGTCCCCTACGTCTAGAGACCCACCGCTAATGACCCGCCTCGAACAGTTGCCCCCTCTTATTAGCCACCGCATATTGGAGGACGACGCAGCAGCGGGCGTTGATCCCCGACCCGCCGCGACCGACCTCACAGACCTGCTCCCGGCATCGCGACGGACGCCGGAGGACGACCTGACGACCCCTGCCCCGCATTCGGTGCTCGCCTGCGTCGACGCGGAGCTCGATCTACGGCGGCTTGCCGATATCCACCACTGGCTGTGGATCGCGGGACGGCCCATGCCGCCGCGCCCGCTCCACCAGCAGCGTCTCCTCAACCGCGAGATCGTGATCACCGAGAGGCTAGACCAGCACCTGGTGTGGGGGGACGGCCGCATACTCGTTAAGCCGCTGCCGCGCTTCCTCCTGGAGCCGCGCTTCTGGGTCGAGCATCTGGGCTGCGGGCCGCATCCTGGTCCCTTTGCAGATGACCGGTCGTGCGCTTGCCGGGCCCGTCGGGAGCGCGCGCTCGGCTTTATCTTCTCATACGCGGCTCTCGTGGCCTACGAGAGTGACTTCCATATCGCCGGGGAGAATCACCTGCTACCGCAAGAGGTGCAGTGGCAGGCGTGGAGGGCGGTCGTAAAGGAGGTCCTGAGCAAGGAGCATATCTACTCTTCGATCGACCCGCGCTTCCACTACGGAGAGCTCCGCCTCAGCCGGCTCAACAAGATACACTTGCTCTGGAAGGCCCCCCTCCGCGGCTACGCGTCTCGCTGGAACCAGTACGGCTCCTTCTTCAGCGACAACTTTAGCTGGCTGGCCAGCTCGATAGTCTATATTGCTATTGTCCTAACAGCAATGCAGGTCGGCCTGGCAACAAGACTTCAGGAGAATGAGGCCTTCCAGTCGGCCTCGTATGGCTTCACTATCTTCTCTATCCTGGGTCCTCTCGTCGCCGCGGGCCTTATCTTAGTGGTGTTCTTCTATTTATTTGTCGGCAACTGGGTCGCTACGAGGCGCTACCGGGAGAAGAGAATGCGGATCATTGAGGGTCAAGGGTAGTCTTATGATAACGTAGCGTACCTGCCGGACCATACTCAGGACACTTCATTCACTGAAACACTATATATCTGAAAGCCAGTCCACGGGGTCGCCTCTCCAGGAAGAGAACCGTATGTGCTTAAATCGGCCACCCGATACGAGCCGCCCTCGGCACACATATTCTGGCGACCTTCCTATAAGCATGCACTCCATACCGTCTCGCTCCATAATGAATGAATCAAAGCGGAGATAAGAGTACAAATGAGTACTGCCGCTGTTATGCAAAACCCCGCGCGCTAGCATGTCGTTTGGAATCTGTCCTACCGGACATTAACTATCTAACAAGCACATAGACGCAGGCAGTCCCCGCCGGTCCTGAACTCCTTAGACCACACCGGTGCGAGGCTTCATTTTCTTGCAGCTCTACCTCCTGTGTCAGCGTTTGCGCCACCGCCAGGATCAGGACTGTTGCTCCGTGGCCATGCGATTCTCTGAAGCTAAGCGCACCCACAGCCTGGCGCGCTGCCACAAAAATCTGAAAGCTCCCGTCAAGGACATGACCGATCGTCAGCATCCCTTGCCCATAGCTGCAAAAAAAGAAAATGTGGCGAATCGGGTATTGTGCATTGAGGCAATCCATGACTGGCCAGCAGATGCCCGCAAACAGGGTCCCATACAGAGGCGAACACCACAGGTCGATGCCGCTCGACCGTAGTAGCGGCCAGTCCAGTGGAGTTGCCCAACGCCGAAGCATTAGATGCCTCGTCTGTCAAGTCTAGGTACCCAGTGGAGGTCATCAGCCCGGGCCTCGTTATACCAACCGGCCCAAGACTGGGCCGGGCACCGATGTCAAAACTCACAATTTGGAATGATTCAGAGTCCAAAGGTTTTCAATCTCACGTACTGTCAGATCTGCAGGGTAATATTCAGCGATAACAATGCCCAGGTTCGGCAAACGAAAATAATTCGCAAGCTCCTAAAAAAAACTCAAATGTCTCTTCAGCCCCTCTTTTAAGATATCGGAAAAGTAAAGCTCCTCGAAATTTTGCACGAGTTATTGGAAGTTCGCATGTTCGTGTCGAATTCGCGAGCTAAAATCGATTGTCTTGACCTCTGCCGGATCTCCCCGTACCGCGATACGCAACAAGAAGCGTCAAAGCCGATGCTGCTAGGTCCGCTGTAGCGTATCTTAACGAGTGGACGCTACCCGAAGGAGGTGATGAGCTTTTCGAAGACAAAATCGCACGGCCCGAGCCCGTCACAAGCTTGATCGAGAGCTTATCGGCCACTGCGGGTTTGTCGTGCGACAAAAACAACCGCGAGACCACTGGGAAAGTACAGTCCCCCGATGGCTCTCACAGTGACAGGCGAACCTCGCTTAATCCCGTCCCTGTCTCTATCCTATCTTCTTTATATAGCGCAGAATCTCTTTCTCACGACTGCATGGTGTGTTTTAGAAGAGTGCTGCTTTGACTTCGTAAGCCGGTAGTTTCGTGATATTCTCTAAAAATGCGGCTAGGATTTCCCGCCGCGGTTGAGTTGACGAAATGGGCTACAATCTTCGACAAGAGACGCTCTGAGCTCTCCTCTGACCTCCAGACTCCACCGGGCCTTCCTTAAGACATGTATTCAACCAAGTGCGCAAGGTCAGGAATACTGCAGTTAAAAGGCTTCCAACCACCGCGCGAGGCATCAGTCAGCTAGTTGCGTCAGCTTTGAGTCTGAACGAGGCACTCCGGGATCATACCCGTGCTGCACAGCTCGAAGAGCTGAAATCAGAGGTCGACGGAAAGATCAAAGCCGTGGAGCTCAACGATAACGTTCTCGAAGATCGCCTGATCTCCAGGCTAGAAGACATCAGCCAACAACACAAAGAACTTAACAGACAGAAACGGGAATTTGTGAACTAATGCAAAAAGAAGATTGTGACAATAGGGCCTGATAGGCGGTCTTCTTGAAGCTTATGTGGGGCAGATATTCATGCGAAGAGCCAAGGGGTCGGAGGGGCCGGTGTCTACATAACGGGGATGAGGATGTACAAGATGAATTTGATAGGCATGAAAATGAAACAGACGCGGTACGAGATAGCGACGTGGATGAAGACTAAGCTCCTCCTCAATATGCGGCTATTTTGGGGGCTTATCGCAGGTGATTGATTATTCGGGCATAATCCCTCGTCGAGAATATCCAATATCAGCTTCTTATTCACGACGCATTGCACCGGGGGAACGCAGAGTGAAGCCTGGATCAACACACATACTTCGTTAAACTCGGGACTGTCATCGTCTCAAACCCGACTGCAAGGCTCCGCCATCGCGTCAGGTCCCGCAACGGTACGGCGCGTCCAGAGTACGCGTCTCGACGTATTGGCGTCGGTGGATCGGGACAAGTCCGCGTAGTAGCGACTGGAAAGACCACGCGCAACGACGCCTGATAGTTGCCTATACGTCTCCCTAACGTCTTGGGCGGCGTGCTAAACGTAGAGCGAGCAATGGATTTGCACATGGCACTCTTCTTCCGTGCCAAGGTACAGATGGCAATACGGAGTATCTATTCAGGACTTGCACGGTAGTGCCTCTTCTGCCACTGGCACCCATGTACGTTCAACAAGCTTCCACTTATCCAGGCGGTAAGGATGCATTGCGCGAGCTGCCGTATATGACTCATGAAAGATGCAGAGTTGTTCGCCTACCGGCTTGTCTCCGTTGCCGAATGGGACGCACGTGTGTCGACCTCTACTTGATGTGGGATGGTGAGGTCACGAGCCTACTTAAAATTGTCGAGCTCGGCAGGAGGTGCTCTGGTGGCTGGCGGGTTGGGCTGGGGGGGCGAGTACCGCTTGCTTGCGGGCAATCTCCGAGGGGACAAGCCCGGGTGTCCTCGCATGGCGTGAAATATGCACTACGGAAATGCAATGCTGGTGCTCTTGTCGACCGGGCACGTTGGCCAGGGCAGAGCCTGTCCATATTCTAACGCCTATATCAATGCTGTCCGCTTTTCTCTGAGTATTAACGTCTGCCCCATGTTAACATGAAGTCGCGCCATCACGTCGTGTCTAATCTTAGACGCCTAGATTAGTGCTATCTATTTATCATTATCCCGAGTATCAATGTCTGCCCCATTGTCAATAAGAAGTCGCACCATCGCCTCCTGTCTCCAATATAACGCCCACTTTAGTGCCGTCCTTCCATCACTATCCCGAGCATGAACGTCTGCCCCCTTGTCGAGAAGAAGCCGCGCCACCGCCTCATGCCCAACTTTAGACGCCCCGATCAGTGCCGACTGTCCATAGTAATCCTGAGCATTGACACCCGCCCCCTTCTCGATAAGAAGCCGCGCCACCTCCTCATGCCCGTTCTCAGACGCCCTGATCAGTGCCGTCCTTCCATCACTGTCCCGAGCATGAACGTCTCCCCCGTTGTCGATAAAATGCTGCGCTACCGCCTCATGCCCGTTCTCAGACGCCCAGATTAGTGCCGTCCTTCCATCACTATGCCGAGCATTAGCGTCTGCCCCCTTGTCGATAAGAAGCTGCGCTAACGCCTCATGCCCGACCATAGACGCCCAGATCAGTGCTGTCCTTCCATCACTATCCCGAGCATGAACGTCTGCCCCCTTGTCGATAAGAAGCCGCGCCACCGCGTCCAGTCCGTTCCGAGACGCCCAGATTAGTGCCGTCCTTCCATCACTATCCCGAGCATGAACGTCTGCCCCCTTGTCGATAAGAAGCCGCG